GGGCTACAGACTAGACTAGAAGTTGAAAAAACATTGTGGAAGAGGGCAGTGGCAGACCATTTCCATGACACAGCTAAGAAAACTGCATGAATATTAGCGAGCCAATTTAGTGTAGTGATTGAGGTGCTGGAATAGAGGAGGAGTTTATTTATTCTTTATTATTTCTTTATTCTCCTGGAATAAAGCAGGAGACTGTGAGTTCCAATCCTCCCTCAGGCATGAAAGCCGTCTGGGTGACTTGGGGTCAGTCACTCTCTCTCAGCCCAGACCACCTCACAAGATTGTTGTTGTGGAGAAAATAGGTAAAAGCACTATGTGCACTGCCTTGAATTATGCAAAATAAAGGCAGGATATAAATCTAATAATAGTGAATGTGGTTATCAGAAGTCAAGTTTGATTCATGGGTGTCTTTACATTTATATTCCATAATGCATAATTATTATAGCTTGAACTGTCTGCTATATAGCTTGTTGAAAAATAAACTCCAAAAGTGCATTTATACATCTTCCTTTGTATTTTTAACTTTGCAAATAAAAACAGGAACCCAGAGCAATTACACTTTTCAGGTCAATTCTGGTTCTGTTCACAGTCATAAATGTGCCTCAGAATTGCCACTTTAGGCATTAATGCTTTAAGAATAGGGTATATTCATTTTACATGTTAACCTCTGAGGTGGTTGGGTAAAAAGAGCAGTTAAGTATATTATGATAATATCCACAAATTCTGTGGTGATAGGTGATCACTGCTCCAGTGTTTCCCACTTCCTAGCCACAGGTTCCCTGAAGTGGTTTGTATTTGGAGTAGTGTTACTTCAGCTTTGATGTATTGCAAGGGAAGCAAAATCCTTTGGCATTGATTTATGTCTTTGTAGTTCACTGAGGCATTTTCAGATTAGAAAATATATATCCTGATTTGGACAGTTGGATAAATAATTAAATTAAACACTACCTTCCTACAGTAATCCAATACTGGACACATGTAGATGCTACCCAAATAAATTCTGATAACTGTTTCTACAACTGTGAGATTTATTTATGGTGAGATGATCACTTTTACTGACTGCTTTTTGATAGATTTCATTCTCACCTAGTAGTTAAGATTTAATTAATACTGTTTAATTCTCTGAAGTCAACAGAAGCATGTTTTGCTTTGATTCTCTGATACAAGACATGCAGCATAATTTCTGTTCTTTCCCTTCTGTCTATCATATTGAAGCAAAAGATTATGGTTACTCATATTCCCATTTTTTAAAATGAAGAGAGTAGGAGTCAGTAACAGGAGTATCTGAAAAGATAAAATGCAAACATAAAAGCAGAATGGTTTTGCAATTCATGGCAAGCTTCTCCTGGTAAAGAAGAATATATGTGGCTGCATTCAGAAAGATGTATGGCCAGTTGATTGTTAAAGTTGGATGTCCGTACTCTTATTATAAGTACATTTTCGTCTTACCATAGCTGCATTCCAGTGCTTAAAATAAAGTGTTTTTACGATGTGTTGCTTAATGAAATTACCTATTTTGGCTGTGGTACTAATATAGTAAACTCCTGCTCCATGTACTCAGCCAGCTCTGGTCCTATTAATTATAACTCAAAAAGGAATTCTCTTTCAGAGGTTTTTCTTATCTTATGTACTACTGCTTCATTGGGGAAAAAT